TCCATATATATATATATATATATATATATATATATATATATATATATATATATATATATATATATATATATATATATATATATATATATATATATATATATATATATATATATATATAGGGTATAAACAATCGAAAATTGCGGTATAAACTAATCGAATATTATCTAAAATAATGAAAGAATGGAATTAGAGTATACACCCTTTTTTCTTGCCGTGTGCTTTGTTATATGAATGAGAAATAATGGATGTGGAGTGAGGTATTTATACTTACTTTTCTATCAAAAAAAGAGAGGTATTTATACTTATGTTTTACGTAATAAATAAAAGGTAAATAGTATACATATTTAAGGAAATCAATTATATGCATTAAATTGATACAATTAAAATAATTTCATTTTGGAATGTAATAATAATAATTGAATATATTATGGATTGATAAATATATTGTTACTAAAATAGTGTGATGTTTACAAATTAACCATAATTAAAAAAATGTCATTTAATGATTACCATAATATATATATATATATATATATATATATATATATATATATATATATATATATTTATATAATTACGGAATATGTCAGTTATTATAATATATAATTACATATATATTACGGATTTTAATTAGTATTAGATAACAAAATTAATGATTACCATAATAACCTATATAATATTAAGGAAATATGTAATTGTCATAAAAAATATCATTTATGTATTATATATTTACGGAAATATATACATATATTTTTAATATATTCTTATATCTCATTATGGAAAGTTATAATTAAATGGACATTATATATGTAATATGTAGTGACACATGGAGCATGATTAGGATGCATACGTGGATGGTGACATGGATGACACATGTCGTAATTCTAGGCTATGAGGGTTTCAATTTATATATTATATAGATAATTGCATACACGACACACTTTGTAACTTACTATTATTGTGTTTTAGGGGCGAGTGATTTCGTATTTTGGTACAAGCAAACCAGGACAGATTTATAATATTTAAACTCAAATTTGGTAAATTTTTGACCCAATATTTTCAATATAATCTATCTTTTTAAATGCTTACAAAGAAAATAATTCAAAATATTACCAAACATCACATAATATCATTACCATATCCTACACCTAATAGCGGTAATTATGTATTATTAGTGACAAACTTTGAATACCTTTATTATTACTATATATATATAAAATAGAAAAATAAAATAAAAAATAATCCAATTGACATATAAATGGCAAGTTGACCATTTACCAACAATCTCAAAACCAATCTTCATCACTTACCCCATTTCCTTCACAATCTATTACATGAATCACTGAGGTGGATCATTTGGTAAGAAAATATTAATTTTCATTTAATATAAAAAATAAATAAATCAATCAATAATTAACAGAAAAAAAAAGACATATAAATATAATACAAACCACCCTGCAATAATACAAGATAACCTGCACGACAAAGAAACATCAAAATTTGTCCTTAGAGAGGGACCAATTTTGTGTGATCAAATATTTGTTGTGTGTAGGTTTCCTCGAAATCGAAAGATTCCGAATATGCTTATCGACCGTCTCTTTCTAATTTTCTCGATTATACGTACGTCGTCGTATATACGTTCTTCTTCGAACAATGCCAATCTCTCATTCATCCTCACCATTGCATTCTGCAAATTACTCATCATGGGGAATTGTCAAAATAACCCTCTGCCAGTCGATACCTTTTTCGGGTTTCCTACCGCATTGCCGACTTGGCCAACCGGTAATAATAGTTATCGCATTTATCTTCGTCGATATGTATATATATATAATTTTTTTCGGGATTTTTGTTTTTACCTTAGGGGGCGGTTTTGGGAGCGGAGAAATGGATCTTGGGGGGCTACAAATTCGAAAAGTATCGACTTTCAAGAAAATCTGGACGTCGTACCAAAGTGGAATGAATAACTTTGGCGCGACGTTTTTCGAGCCTGATCCAATACCAGACGGATTCTCGATGCTCGGAAGCTACGCTCAGACTAACGACCAACCGTTATTCGGTTGGAATTTTGTCGGGAAATCGGACGGAACCGACATTTTAAAGCAGCCAACTGATTACACTCTTGTTTGGTCCGATACTTCCACAACAGAGTCGGCCTACTTCTGGCTCCCGATTCCGCCAGACGGTTACAAAGCTGTGGGCTTCGTTATCACAACCACGGCCGATAAGCCGTCGCTGGATAAAATCCGATGCGTCCGATCGGATTTCACCGACGAATCGGAGATCGAGGCGTGGATTTGGGGGCAAGGTGGGATGAATGTGTACGGTTCGAGGCCGAAGACTAGAGGGACGAAGGCGCAGCAACTAAGCGTCGGCGCGTTCCTCGTCCAAACCGACAACTACACCGATACGTTGCCGTGTTTGAAGAACAACAACTCGACGGTATCGGCAGCGCCAAATTTGAGCCAGATCAAAGCGGTGTTCAATACGTATTCGCCGTATATCTACTTCTTTTCGAAAGAGAATTACCTTCCCTCGTCGGTCAACTGGTTTTTCAGCAACGGGGCGTTGCTGTACAAGAAGGACGACGAGTCGAACCCGGTTGGTATCGAGGCCGACGGGTCGAACCTGCCGCAAGGTGGGTCGAACGACGGCGAGTATTGGATCGATCTTCCGGGGGGTAAAAACGAAAGGAGGAGAGTGCAGGGGGGTGATTTGCAAAATGCGGAGGCTTATTTACACTCGAAGGCGGTGCTCGGCGGCGCGTTCACCGATATACAGGTGTGGATATTTTATCCGTTCAACGGCCATGCAACGGCGAAGTTGGGGATAATTCACGAAATCTCTTTGGGGAAAATCGGCGAACACGTGGGGGACTGGGAGCACGTGACGCTGAGAATCAGCAATTTCGACGGGGTTCTTTACAGGGTTTACTTCGCGGCGCACGCCGGAGGGACATGGGTCGACGCCTCCTTGCTGGAGTACGCCGGCGGCGGCGGCGCCGCCAATAAGTTCGTCGGGTACGCGTCGCACAACGGGCACGCGGCGTATTTCCAGGCGGGGGAGTACGTGCAGGGGCCGGGTGAGGTCGGGATAAGGAACGACACCGGGAAGAGCGATATGGTGATGGACACCGGAGCGAGTTTCACGGTGGTGGCGGCGGATGGGCTGAGTGCGGCGGAGGGGGTGGTGGAGCCGGCGTGGTTGGAGTATGCTAGAGAATGGGGTCCGAAGATAAGCTACGATTTCGGGAAGGAGGTGAAGAGGCTGGAGAGATGGTTGCCCGGAAAGTTGAAATCTTTGTTTAAGAAGCTGGTGGAAAAGCTGCCGGAGGAAGTTTACGGCGAGGAGGGGCCGACTGGTCCGAAGATGAAAAGTAGTTGGGATGGTGACGAAATATGAGAAAGTATTGGGCCCAATTTGAAGAAAGCCCAAAATTGGGCTTATATATTTAATATTATGGGTCCATTTGACATACACCCTTAATATGAAAAAGGGGCTTACTATTCATAGTGCAATTTTTTCCGGTTACAGTGCGAAATAATTCATTTGTCAAAAAACCCTTTAACATTTTTCGAAATCCTCTCAACCTCCTAATTTAAAACTACCAAATCGTCAAATTTGTCCGATAGTATCATTTAGAACACAATAATTATCAAGAAGTATGAAACCTAAATCGATTTTGAGATTAAAAAATGTGTTTTTTGTCGATTTTCGACATTTTTATGAATTTCGTGTTCTGTTGCACGAAATGAAACACTCCATTTCGTGCAATACAACACGAAATGCTTTATTTTTCAGAATTTTGTATTGTTTCGTGTAAATTTACACGAAATGCAAGCTTGCATTTCGTGTAAATTTACGTGAAATACAAGCTTGCATTTCGTGTAAATTTACAGGAAATGCAAGCTTGCATTTCGTGTAAATTTACAGGAAATGCAACGTGAAATCACTATTTTTTTTAATTACTCCATTTTTAACACTCAAATAAATACAAGAGAATAACAACAAACTTAAAATGAAATTCAAATACTAAATAAACTAAAATTCAAATGTAAATACAAATTAAAATAAACCTATATTTCGTAAACTACGTGCCATACTTTAATATAATAACGATATACACAAATCCATAAGACATTGCATAGTATTCATAACAAAAAATATATATTGCAAAATCTACAACCAAACTACAAAAATTATATGGTTTACATGCTAAAATATTAAAAAAATTAATAGTAACAGACCAATTTCTTTAAACAATAAGAAAAAAGTAAGTATAAAGTGTTAGTGGCCAGGCTCAGTTCGCAAAAACCGAATGCCGTTTTTTTTTTTTTTTTTTTTTTTTTTTTCTTTTT